AATGGTAAGATAAGAGAGAGGGAGTGGGAGCCTTAAAGGAACCTCAAATGGGCAACAAGATGAACTACTTGTTATATACCATGGGTATGTGTGTAGGTAGCATAATCGGCTTGTTCCAAAATCCATAGCGACGGGGGTTTTATGGATGCAAATAGAACAGCTGGAATGGCTTATGGGGGCTTCCCCAAAAACTACCCTTATAAATCGGATGAGTTTCTATGTAGCTATGTAGTGTTAGAGAAAAATTAGGAAATTAAATTCCGGATCAGCGAATTATGGTGCATTGACTGAGTTACAACGTAAGACAAACCTACCAGAATAACTTCTGATATACAAGAGTGGAATCAGGGGAAGGATCTCTCATTTCCAACGGGATTTCCGGGGTAGCCCAATCTGAAGGAGGAGGGAAACCCTGATGTTGGTTTGGTGCTCCTTCCTTTTTTAGACAGAGGTAGTCTGAAATTGAGAGGGTATCGAATCTTAAAATAGTTGCTCATAAAACGTAAATCAATGCCCCAGGCTAGATGTTGTTGTCCACAGGCCGTATTCCTGAGTTCGCTCAATATCAGCGAATGGTTTTCTCCCAGGAAAAGAAGATAGCAGTAAACGTTTCTGGTGACAACACCAACTATGCAGCGAATTAATCACATATTCAGAAGCGCTATAAGGGGAGCAATGGTGGCGTGGGAGGGAGGGAGGAGATTGGCGATAAAACAAGTAATTCGAATCAGCGAATAGTTCAAAGATTAGCGTCGTCGGGCCCGAAATGGCTCAGCAGCTGCGATGCTGAAGCGGATAGGAATAGCTGGTGATGAGCCTCAGCCTACTGGGGCAGTTGTTTTAGAGAAGGGATGTAAAATGATTCGTAACACATCGTAATTAAGCTGGAACAGGCTTCAGAACGATTCACATTTCGCTTAGAAGTCTGAAATCAATAAAGCAGCTGTGACTTCTGGCGGAAGCATCCCCTTTTTTCAATTTTCAGCCTCCACTGGCAACAAAAGTACGAATTTCGATTTCAAACAAACAAAAAACTGGCTAAGGCAACAATTTGAGGTGAAGGCCAAGCCCCTGCCCGAGCAGTGACCGAAATTGTACCATTCCCTCATCGGTGTAGGTTTTTTCTCAGTCGCTACTCATCAGCACAGTCACTTTTCAGATATTCAGGATTTTTTCAATAAATATACAACTGATACAGCTTGACAACCACAGCAGATACGTGAGAATCCTTTCGTGGTCTTCAACAGACCGGATGTGATGGTCCTGAAGGTCCGAAGAAAAATGGCAATGTATGTAGTCGCAGAAATCGCAAAAACGTCTGAGGACAGGTGCCTATCGAATGTCGAAGCAGGAACGAGACGCTGACCACGGACGTCGACATCAGAGAGGTGCTTTCTGAGTCAACGAAGTTTGCAATTAAGTGTTCGGCTGAGTAAGTACACCCCTAATAGGGCAGAACTTGTAAGAGATGCTCTTTACGAATGTGTATAATGAGACAACTCGGGAATAAGGCTTGTGGAGAAGTATATATTGCCCAGGGCATCGATTTACGTCTTAGAAGGATAAAGGATGAAGTCTTGGGGCGTTAATCAATCCCATCTGAGGAATGCGCCCACGCCCAAAATTCATATTTGCAAAGTCCAACCGTAGCCCTTGAAGTATCCTTTGAAAATTGCAAAAAAGATTTTCAATGAATCCTCATGAAGTCCAATGAATGAGTCATTTCACGCGCTGTCCTCTAGAAACCTCGCATGGAAGCCGCTCAAAGAGGAATTCCATGTAGGTAAAATGAAGGTGATCGGTAGGACTTCCTGTCAAGAGTGACGATTTCCACAACGAGGCTCTTGAATGAAATGTTTAAGGAAGTACAAAGTCTTTGGCGTTTAGTCCCTTTTCAAGGATGCGCCCCCGCTTTCGACTTCTATTCAGAATTGTAGTGGCGCATTGAATGCGTTTGACCCTAATACTTGGCCCTATACAAATAATTGCGGTGGCGAGCCAATGTACATGTCAGTGTTTTTATTCTCCCGGTTGAGCCCGGTACCAATTAACCGACCCCGGAAAGATGGAAGGCTTGGTTGTGAGGGCGAGAGATAGAGTGAGAGTTATTTGTCAATAACTGTAACATAGGCTGTTTGTCGGAATGGCTGAGCAGACAGTAATGGGTTGCACCTACATACTATAATCTAAAAGTCTCTGGCATCAAATCCTGTTCAGGGATCTTGGAGGAACGGAGATTTGTATGTATACTTCGTGGCGAAACTCATTTGTGCTGGCGGAAAGGGGTGGTAGATGGGAAAATAGAAAGAAAACTGAGGATCTATAGATATTCTATGCATGCATAAAGAGTTTCCGTGACGATTAATTTTAAATTTGTGGGAACTGTCAGGAATGATGTGGGTCTAATGCCCCTCTTGTCCCTTGAATTACTCTTGGAATTACCCTTCAGCAGAATACGCTGATTTTTAAGAAGAAAGTTCTTTTTGTAACCTGTCGCAGTAAAGCCAAGAAGACAGAGTTCCTCTGACAAGCGGCCATTCATCATTAGAAATTTGGATGGCTTTTATGGAGCAAGTACTTCGATGTTATTGCCTCCAGACAAGAGTAAGTGCTCTAGCAAAAAAGGAAAGTACATTCGAACTAGGCCTTAATAACGCCCGAATTTGGGATTAAACGAACTCATTAGCTCTTGGAATGTGGTCAGTTTTTCGGTTCCATTGTGAAAGCCTCCAGATGAGACGCTCCTCACCCAAAGGGAGAACCAAGAGTTATGTAGGAGGAGCCCCACACAACGGTATACGGTTATTGTAGAATCGTAAAACTACACTGGAAATGGGAAAGTCGATGCAGAACGAAGCTTGTGTGTGTGTTGAGGGGGGAGCAATGGGGGAACCGGGGATGGGCAGAGTGAAGACGTTGCGTGGTGGGATGCGAGTATTGGAGCTTCTCATTTAACATTAATGAAACGAGGCTGCTGTAAATGTGGTGAAGTAACGATCCTGAACTGGAGAGAGGAATTCTAGAGAGAATTCTCGTCCAAAATTAAGGGCTAAGGGTTGAAGAAAGCGATCCGGTTCGATGTGACAATTTTGGAACTATTACTGGTATTTCTAGCTGGACTTCAGCCCCTCAAAGATTGTTGTAAGAGGCTGAGAACCGACTTCAGCAGTATTAGAGACCATGTTTTGAAGGGATAGGACATCCTAACCCTTGACGGTGATTGACAGTAAAACGAAAGAAGACCCACTCCCACGACAGGAATCGAATGCTGTCAAGGAAATTCTATTGAAACTGTAGGATGCAAACCATAGTGGTATTAATTTGGGTTCCTGATCCTGTGTGGTAGGGCTGTAGCACCGTAAGAACTACATAACTGTGAGGAAGACCAGAGAGGGTTAAGTAAAATCTGGAGAGCAGGTAGAGCAGTCCAGCTCTGCCCACTCCTACCATGATAATGTGATTGCAAAAGTGACTCCCTTCACAAAAATCTACATTTACAGAAACCGATGTGCAGGATAGACTGCTATAAAAGAGTGGGCAGAACCATTGAAAGAAAGGGATGTGAGGAAGAGCGGAAACGAGCAGCTGAGCGACGGTTTGTCTCTATATAGTAATTCTATTACCACAAGAATTGAAAAAAAAAACATTGAATAAAGACATTCAAAAGGAACTCGCATGAGCGTTAAAATGAAATCAGAACAGAGGGGGAGCTTTGATGACTGAGAAAGCCTTCATATGTACACCTAACATATGCTTCTGCTCCAACAGGACGGATTCCGTTCCCATTGTATTCTTGTAATTATAATAGTTGTGGAAAAGTATGTGAAAAGTTTATTCCGGAGAATTTCCGAAAATTCTAAAACGACCAACATTTTCACGAGGTGCACTGTTGTTTCCGTTATCGATAATTTCGATATGTTATAAAAAGCAGAAGTAAAATTTAAAAATAATTTTTGTAAAAGCAAAAATCCGCCAAATTTTGTGTGGTATATGAGCGATGCATATAGCAGAGAGGAGTAAATGTATGATACGATTTCCAGATAATTTGTCATTATGAAATGTACCGTATGATTGAAAATTACTACAAATTTCGCCCTTTCAAATAATTAATATTCAAAGGCTTTTTTCCCAACAGACGGCTTTCTTTGAACCTTAGCATTTCTTCTTTATTGTTGATACAATTGGTTTATTTTTCAATTGCCGAAGAAAACAATACATTCGAATGTATTTTGTATTTACAATAAATGAATGCATGAACTTTTCCAAATTAGTCGAGTGTCTGGAAAAAATGTCTTTGCGAAATAAGGAGCCCACTGAGCATGGATTTCTGGGATGCGAAAGGGGAAGGTATGTTCGTTGTAGTGTTGTATTTACTCGATTGATGCCCAGCTGTTAAGCATTGCAACCTTCCGTTCGACAACGAACTTCCAAGTTTTACTTACAGCGATGGCCGAGGCAGCCACTTGACGAACGCATGGCCCCTCAGAATAAGCGTCTACCTTAGCCTTCTTCTGGGTAGCGGCACACCACACCCACAACTGTTGGGTCATCCTTTACTAGCAGGTCTGCTGTGATTTGAAAATGATGCTACTAATTGTTTACCGTAATCCATTGTACAAAATGCGACTACAAGGGAATTAACTATAACCGAAAGTAGGATTAGAGCTCAGAACGGTCAGAATGCGCCACGAAAACGCCCTCACTTCGGAAAATTGACCTTTTGAACATGATTCTGGGCCCTTGAAACAAGTAGCGCTACCGAAATGTAGAACTAGGTAAGTTGTTTTCAAATCTACGATCTCGCCTGGTTGGGATAGGCAGCTTCTAGAAACTGTGAAGTAGAACCTCCCAAATGTCAAAGAGAAGCTCCGAAAAAGCCGTGATAGGCCACAAATTGGAACTGATCACTGCAAAATGAGTCACTGAGACAATTTCATGATTTGCAGAGACATTTTCGTCTCAGCGACAAATCCCCTCATTATCAAACTCTAATTAAACAATCAAAGAGCGCACAACAACTGTGCCGTCCATTTTTTGTGCAAGTTTGTGCAAGCGAGGTCAGAAATCGATGCAGTTCTACAAAAAAAANAAAAAAAAGGAGTGAAAGCTGAACTAACCGGTTTTTGTGAGGTATGGTCAAGAATCTTCCTCATCCACGTCCTCAACTTGTGGATATTATGACTTTCGCAATGGTCAAGCATGAAAAATAGCGGTTTGCTGAGAGCTGAGAACAGCTCATGCGAATCGAACAGCTGCTCATTGAAACGCGGCAGCACCCGTGAGAACCAAATATTCTGAAAACATAAAAAAAATTATCAAAATATTTTGAACGATATTTTTTGTTCCTAGTTCACTACCCAATAGGAGATGCACAGTGGTCATGATGTGTGGGAGAAGGGATCAAATGTACAGCTCACGATATTTGGAGGTACCTTTTTTAGGTAAACGGAAAAAAATTTTGGTGGAGAATAGTGTGGCGAGCGAAGCACAAAAATCTGCGAAATTTAGGAAATATAAAACATCCCAATTGTAGATGAATTAAGGGATCGTAAATACGGGGTTATGAGAAGGGAGCGGCATGGCAGGAGTGTTTGGACGAGATTCAGTCGTGTGCAATTGCATAAAGAGCAGGCTACTGTAATAAAAAAATGGTGAAAATCGCTTCCCACCGCTAAATCGGATCGGAATTGCATGCGTTGCAATTTTTTTGCTATGAGGAGGATAATGTTGTAATTCTCTGCCAATATTGCGTCCATTTTGTTATTGCTTTGTTGTTGTTATTCGCTCGTTACGTTATTTTATCGCTGTTCTCTACGATGGACTTTCCGAATGTTCAACATATCTGCTGCATTGTGAATGGTGCAACCTCTGGAAAGCCGTTGAAACACGTCCACTTCTATGTGATGTAATGGAAACATGCCTTTACCACGCCCGATCTAGCCCTTTTTCAACGCGACAATGGTCCACGTCCCATCTTTGAGAAGCAACAGACCCCAGAAGAAGGTGTACAGCTGTTGTGGGTGTTCATTTGTTGCATCGTGGCGTCTCCATGCAACCATTCAAAACACCTTTGCTAATAAAAAAAACGAATGCAAATGATGGTAATAATAATTAACAAATTCACAGAGCGATTATAGCATAAAAAAAGGGAACGCTTCAAGAATGACTGTCTTGAGAGGATAACTCACTTCAGGAATCACCGGCAAGGCGGACACAAGTGTTTGGCCAAGAAAATGGGCTTTTTGAGATGGATCGAACATTTGTGAGATGTCGTCGAGTTGTCGAAGTGCCGATAGAGCTGGATCGTCGAAGTGCTTTATCTGAAACGGAGCATGAGCTTAGTGTTCATACTTGAAGAACCACTTCTTTCCTGTCGAGTGACACCAAATACCAAAACAAAAGTTTCCAGCAAATCGATGGGGCTAGTGATTTACCCAAATGAAAAACAGATCGAGCGAACGCTTATCAATCTTGCTATAAAACTCGCCGTATCCTCCAAGTTCCTCAAAAATGTTCATTCTAAGCGGAAATCATTCCAGAAAGTGATCTGAGGATCAGAGGATGGCAGCGCCACTTGACAAACCCCACCACAAAAGTTCGTTCCTCTTGGAGGAAAAGGGTTGCACCATAACTTCCTTCTAGGCTTATCTACGAATCGAGTGGCTCCAAAATAACGGCATGCCTCCCAGACACTTTTTCCTGGGAGATGTTTCTCTCATGTTCATGTAGGCCTCCCAGACCCTTTTTTCCGGGAGATGTACTGACTAATGTGATGGATATATTAGGATAACATCATGACCTCAGGAATTCCAAGCATATCAGATAGATTTTTCCCATTAAGATCCCATTGAAACTGAAACAGTATGTATATAGTAATTGAAAGTAATGCAGATGTAACCATGTAGGTATCGACCTTACAATTTAAAATTGATTTAGATCAACGAGATGTTCTTTTTTATGAATGCTGATGGAATCGCCACCTCACTGGGTTTGGGCTAGTGATGATGTTCGTTCAGAGGCCCAATTGTGAACTCACCAAAGCTAGCAACTGCACTGTAGGCCGCACCTCCACGTCCAAGCTGAGCACTTTTCCCATCGATTCTCTTAGATTCGATCCCAACTCCTCAGAGATGCAGTTCAGTGCCTCGTTCAACTGAATGCTCAATTTCCTTTTCAGCATTATAGTTTCAACAGTGTCAACGATTTAAAGTAATTATGCTGCTCATTGAAAAAGAAAACGGGAAGATCAGATATACATAGATATTAGTCCTCACAATCAGACAAAAACACTCATTTTCCAATGAGTCAGAGCATTACTGTAAATTTAAGTGCATTTTACTAGCAATAAGACGAAAGGGAACTATTTTGAATGCCAAGGTTCCCCAAGTAGCTTTAATCGGAATCGAATTTTTACTCATAAGTAAAAACTACAATATGACAACGTTGAGGCCACTGCTGAAGCCACTGTAAAAGTTAGAAAGAAAGGCTGAGATTCCGCTTAACCCACAATCTGTAGAGCAAATTTTTCAACTGTTTTTGAGTATACATCTCAAATACAGTCTTGGTTGCTTACAGTAGCGCTCAAAAGTCTTCGGTGAAATGGTTCTTCGGCCGTACTTTTCAGTAGTAACTTCTTTCCTACTGGATCTAATCATGCGAAATTTCGATATGTGTAGCATGGGTGTATTGTGAAATATACCACTGTCAACCTGCCATCTGGTCATGTTCCTGATATCCCAAAGAGCTTGAAATCAAAATCAACCGGAAATACAAACATTGGTCCTCCTAGGAATCCTTTCCTTTTCGTCATGTCCAAAGTGTACGAGCGCTAGTGCCGAACATAGTAGATTACAAAAACGCACATAAGTTTTGAGTAACTGCAGACGTCAACAACTTTAGTTTTAGCAAAATCTGCTACCGCAACAAACACCTTGCTCTATCTGTGGATATTGCAGCTCCGCAGTCAAATGGTGTTGGGTAAAGTGAAATATGCTCTAGTTAAACATATCCAAATTTTGCGCGATTTGGTCTACTACGAAAAAAGTTATGAACGAAAAAGCTTCAAAGCATTTCACCGAAGACTTTTGAGCGCTACTGTAGTTCAATTCATAAACAAAGAAGTTTTCCTTCTGAACCTTCACCCTAAGCCTTCGGGTCGGCCAATTAGCACCAAACACAACCGAGACGATAAATGCCCGTCTGGGACTGACCTATACATCGGATGGCAACCGCAGGTATAGGCCACATCCGTATTCAGTACGCCACCACGAATCGGTGGAAGTCGAATGCGAGGGCGCATCCCTCAGACAGGATTGATTAACACCCCAAGACTCAATCCTTTATCCTTTTAAGTGCGTAGTGTGTATATGACCAGAATTTCTTCATTTTTAGCCCATCCTTACGTTTATGTTTCCACTATTCCTTTTTTTTTGCTTTTTCCTGCTCTGGTGCAACTTTTGCTCAAGGAAAGATGAATAGGTAAATAAACACATAGATTACGAACAAATAAACAAACAAATAAACATTGGCACCCACCTGGCCGCATATGATGGCGTGAGTCTCCAAGTTGTTCTTGGCGTCGATCAATCTTTTCCCACCTAAAACTGACGTCGATTCATATTTTACAATTTAGTTCTTCCGACATAACATAATTTGAAGAATTAAGTATCAAGACGTGAAACAGTTTGCTCCGGCAAAAAAGATCGAAAATAAAATTAACAAAAGGTAGAAGAGTTAAGGAAAAGTAAGAAGCGAAGAGCAGCAGGTAATTGAAGAAGACCACCCCCAAATGAACGATAGATGTACTCGATTCGGAATTAAAGTTTCAAAAATTCGAGCAAAATCTGACCGGCATATATCCAGCAGATGAGGACACCGAGCGAGAAGACGTCAGCAGCCGATGTGACCGTTTGCTGGTTGGGGGCAAGATATTCTGGAGCGAGAAAGTCGAGATCCGGCTGTAGGATTGGCGGTAACTTTTTCGTCCATGGATAGCATGGGTAGCAGTCCTGAATGATTGTGGTATAGGGAAACAGTAACAGTAATGTGGGGCTATCAGTAAGCTAGGGTCCTTAATGAATCAGTTACATTTGTTCGGACAGTAGAGGGCAACGCTTACGAAAGGATAAGTTCACAGAAGTTGACTTGAAGTGGATCGATGATTTGGCGAACCTTGAGCTAAGCCTTGGTCCTACTACCCTTCACTGGATACTCGCTCCACTGGGTCAGGATCCATGCAGTCCGTCCAGAATCTCTATGGGCTGACATTACGCTTAATAGTTCGCTTGAAGGAACGGGGAACGATTTCGATATTCAGAGGCATTTTGGATTTGTATATCAGGTAACGGGCGGAGGTGGTGTAATGGCAAGTGGCGCACTATCTCCCGCGCACGGCCAGGGGTTCGAATCGCAGATTGCGTCCTGGATCCTCCTAGGCCAACCGAGCCTGCCATCCCTCCGGGTTCGGTTAATCGGTACCCGCCTGGGAGGATAAACCAGGGGGAAAAACATCTGACGGGATTGCTTAACGCCCCAAGACTTCATCCTTTATTGAATCACTTGCTTATGACCATGAGAGGGACCTTCAAAGACAGCTCATGTAACCTTCTTGCATACCAATGACCCTCCATTCTGCTGGATTAATTAGCTTGACTCACGGGCTCTTTTGCAGCCACTGCAAATGAGAATCCTGCAATTTTCCAAAGTCGGCTGTTAGTCACATAAATCGAAGCTGGTGTGAGGTTCCCGTGAAGAATCTTTGCTGAGTTATGCAAATATGATAGGCCGTCGATTATCTAAAGATACAATAGAATTTAGTTTTTTCACTACCCCGCTAAGAGAAATTACCTGAAGCACGCCTAATTTCATTTCGAGACGTTCGATTCCCTCTTCGATGACCACATTGTCCAGTGAAGCATAAACAGCTTCAGTGCCGAACGCGAGGAATTCTCTGGAACAGATCATTTCAGAACAAATAAAGTGTGGAAGGATGCATCAGTGCACCCCTGAAATCATAAATTTCTTCATTACTTCGTTATCCAATTTTTTCCAGTCACTACGTTCCTAATCTCAAGCTCCTACTCGGGAGGATTCCGGGATTCCCTCCCTAGTTATTGGTAAAAGTTTACGAACGCAGCTGGCACAGATCAAAGGCAAGTGAAGATTCGTTCGCCTTGTCTTCAAGCATCTCTATCCGTTTTCTGTGTGAACCGGGTTCACTCTTCCACCTTCTTTTCTATGTCCTCTTCTCTCTGCCTTACTCCATCCTCATGAATGTGGAGGTGATCCCAAACTGAACACGCTTTAAAGCATTTTGTATTTTTGACTACATATTTTAAAGCTACTTCCATTTCCTAGTTATCCTGAGACTGCTATTGAATTCATACTTCATTGCACATGTGGTCCTAAGAAGTTAAAGGCTACAGTCTGTCTCGAAACCCACAAACTCCCCTTGTGATTCGCACTACATGTTAGGAAGTTCAGGAAGTATGTATTATTTTCCGGAAATTTTACGGTAGTCAAGAGTTTTCTTGAAATATTCTGGAAATTTCTATGGATTCACTATCTAAGGACACTACCCAATTGAGTGCGCATCACTTATTCGGCTCCCTTTTACTTGTTTGGTCAACCCTGTAAAGGGCCAACCGCCTACACGTATCCGGCATGGGCTGTCTATTCAATTTCAATTTTTAGTAATTCCTAGCTCCTTTTCTTTTATTAAGTGGGGGGAATTTCGCCTATTTGGTAGGTTCCATGAGATTTCTGTGAGCACACTACCCAAGCATATATGTACGCACAACTATCCCGCTACCTATTCCTCCCTTACTTATCCATATAAAAGTCGAAGAACCGTTTAGCCATATTCAAAACGTACATATATTCTACCTTGGAGCCTCTTCTATGCGTTTCTGTGCACGTGTTGTCCCAACGCTTCAAAACCGTAAACAAATTCATATGACAACCCATTCGACCGATAGCGAAAGTGAGAAGTGCTACGAGAGTATAGTACATCTACGGGAACTTTGGAGTATTCGGCAGATACTCCTCTTCGATCACCCACGCATGAGCTTTTACTACCCACTGAGCCAATGAATCTGCCCCATTTGCCCTCACACTGCCTTGTATTCCTCAAAACAGCATGTCCCTACTAACCCTATTCTACAGAATGCAGCATTTTGTACGTGATTGTATGAATAGCTAGGTAAATAAACAAACAAACAAGTAAAGATATCGGCGATCAACTTAGCAGTCATCTTGCAATCGCTCTTTCGGACCGTTTTTGATTCAAATATTGCTTTTAATGAATTTAACTGTAATTGCTAGGTGTTTCCTCAGCGGAGAAGAACAAGAAGGAAGGAGCCGGAAAACCGTGAAAACAGACTTTTAATAGTGGACCTGATAACCTCACAAGGTTGGTGATTTGTGGGCAAAACTAGAGTCTCGGACGGGACTCGAACCCGTACTTGTCCTTTCCGGGGACCTGATAACGAAAGAAAAAATGGTGAACCCCTGTAGAAGCTTCACCGTTGCGATTCCTTTCAAACCACTTCCTGCTGACTTTTCCCGAACTTGGAACTCCCCATTGGGTTTGATCAGAGGCTTTACTGTTTGGTGATACGCCCATTAAGAACACATGTGGGGCCATCAGACCCTACGGGGCGACCGCTCATGTTTTGAGCTTAGTGGGTTATCAGCAAGATCAACTTGCCAAAATTAGAAGGGGCCCTCTTGCAAGTGTTGCATACAAACAAGCTCGACTTCCAACCAGCCCCGATAATTAATTCGCTGCGAGCCGTCCAAAAACCCCCTAGGGTGTTTCTGCAAGTGCTGCAAATTACTGCCTTCCTAAGGGGGTTCAGATCTTCCATGGAATTTGAAATTGATAGTGCTGAAAGAGTCTGACCTCCCGTTTCTTTGATGGGGACCACAGATACAACCTTTACTCAGAAAGGGCTGAATCTTTTAGCTTCTAAAATGAAATGGCTTCAGACAGATTCTAGAATAAGGAAGAGAAATCACATTCATGGCGTGGTTCAGCGATCCCTCTTATCCCTCTTATTTTCGTTGTAGAAGCTTTTTTATTTCCCTTATAAAAAAACTGAGGGAAAAGGATAAATTTCTGGGACGTTGATCAATCACGTCTGAGGAAAGCGCCTCGCATTTGACCTCCATTCAGAACCGTGGTGGC